GGATGGCAAAGCAAACTTAATGAGAGCTTTGTCTCATCACAGCCCTTCCTCCCAGAAAACTGCTGAGCTTTTCTTTCCACATTTCCCTAATAGTTTCTCATATGATGGCACAGCAAATGTACCTTTGGGAGTGTCCATATCACTGAAATCAAGTCAGGTAGCCTGTAACTGAGATAGATTTTTGGTTGGGCAGAGACTCACCTTAGTTCCAAGGATGAGATAATTTTTCCATTGCTGAATTATCAAGATCTTTGAGATATTGAACCAGCTGTCTTGAAAGGAACAGCTGATCTCATGTCATGTCCCTGGACTCATGCACTTATTCCTCCTCTGGCTCAAAGCCTCATGGGGTAATAAGCCAATTGGCCTCAGTCTCTTTTATTTCTGCAACCTCTTAGTAGGTCTAGGAGATCACGCACAGTTGTGACTCTCCACAAAAATAAAACCAATCCCCTAAAATGAACAAAGCAAAAAAACCATAGTATCTCTATTCCAGTCAGTGAAGTAAGCTGAAAGCATCAGCTTAGTGATTCTGGAATGGGGAAGGGCTGTCCTTTCATGTCACAGAAACCCTTAATTAACTGTAGGCTATCAACAGCCAGGGGACTTTCTTCTCAGAACCCTAGCAAAGCCCAGCTACTAAAATAGATTCCCCCAAATAAAATAGTAAATTCTAATCCAGAAAGCCAAGTAGTTTTTCAACGCTATTTGTTAATGGAGCATAACTGGTGCATTTGTCTTCCTACACAAGAGAAGAAGGGTTGGTGGTATGTGGGCCCTACTTGAGCTGATTTATTCCACCTACGCTGCCATATCCCCATATTAGAAAACCCTCACACAACTTAAATGTAACAATATTATTAGCTGCAGCTTGGCCAGAAAAATCAACAATAAATGAATTCTGAACAATGTACTTCAAAATGTCCCACAAATGTCTTGCAATTGAAGAGCATTAGGTTGCTGCAAGGTGCCAGCAGAAACTCGAAAACAACTGTGTGAAAAGCAAACCATTTTTCTCTTAGAATGACCTGAATTGATGAAAAACTTCAGAATTATATCCACTAAGAAACCAAAATACCTAATGAAAGAACCCCAAGGTATCTAGAAAGCGTGATATGATGCACAAGGCCAGCTGCTGTTTTGTTTCTGCTCATATTTATTTACACAATAAAAGTACCTTTTAAACCCAAATATGTAATACAAACTGAAATAGGAATTAATTTTTCATGAAGCCAATGAAAAGCATGGTTAAGTTAAGATTTTTAGAGTAGACAGTAGAAGGCCTTAAATGTAAAAGTAATTTAAATCTAAATCACAGTAACTATAGGAAGCCTATGTCCTCCACCTGCCATAATGAGACTTTCCCACAGGGGACAACAACAAATAGCAAATAAGGTTTGATTGCTTGAGAAAGCTGGGCAAACAAAGTACCTTCTTAATTATAATATTCTTAATCATTCAAGTCTGCTTCTTTTTTTGATATTGTGTAATTATGGTACATCCCAAAGTATAAGACACCTCTTTTCAAATTTTCTCCCTAATAAAAAGAAATGCTGTAAGGGATGTTTTCTCCAGAAACTAGTGTTGTGCTAGCAAGTGGAAATTTACAGATGGTTAGAAAATACATCAGCACCTGTATTTCCCAAGCTCACAAGAAAAAGTGGGTATTGATTCAGGAATATCTTGCCCATAAATCCCAACATTAAAAGCCAAAACCAGAATTCTAAATAATAAAAAAAAGTACTCAGAAAAGAGGTGACTTCAGCAATCTGTAATTCAAACATTAAGAAAATGTGATCTGTTACACAGACTGAGCACTATTGTAATTGCAGAAGAAAGCTCTTTGACATAGTTTGTATGGAGATATTATTCCTCTGTTTTTAATACTATATATGAATTACAAAGCTGCAGTATAATGTCAACTGCAGTATGCAAAATTCAGCATGAAAAGATTAAAATAGTAGATGGGTAATTATTTCAAAATTTCTTTCAAAAGCAAGTTTTCTGGTTCTGTTGGGTTTTGGTGTCTTTTTCCTTTTTTTTTTTTTCACAAACTAGAAATAACTACATTAGTAAATCGAAACTTTCCGAATAATAGTCACAGTTTTGCACAGCAATTTGGTTTTAAGATAAATAGGAAACTTTCCCCTCCCAAAAGACATTTCATTTATGTGAAATGCATATTACAAAACTTCTCTGGACAATTATAATTATGTCTTTTGACAGTTGTTTTATCCAGAGCACAGATGTTTGCCACTTAACTATGAATGTTGGCTGACCTGCCCAGATCTCCATAAAAAGCAGTTGTAACAAAGTTTTTCTGCAAATGGTTATGCAAACAGGAATCTTCTTTTCATGTATGTGAAGTATACCCTCTGTAATACATTCAAAAGCACTTCTGGGAAAATAAAGGCTCAAAAGTACATGCACTGAAATCACATGGATGAGGGTATAGATTATAGCCAAAACAGCTAAATCAAGACATAGATTATTCTTTCAGAGATCAAATTACATTGCCAATGCAACCCTCCCCCCACCAAGAAAAAAAAACAATCAAAAAAAACCTCCAACAAATCAGGAAAGCGGTGTTTATTTGTGGTTTTTCATTAAGTAAAGCAGGTAATGTACCCTATCTACCCTTCTTCTTAGATTACCATGGGGTAAAAACAGTAGGAAAGAGCTGACCTGAATTTTCAGTGTTCAGCTACTGAGAATGGCAGCAAAAGGCAAAGGAAAGCTGTGGTAGGTGATACCCAGACATCTAATGCTCCTAGTAGAGAACATCCAAGCCCGTGCAACATACAACTTACCATCCTACTCTTAATGCTGTTCCCTCTACAATGAAGTGGGCTAGATCCCTCTGCTAGACCCTGAAAATGAGCACAAGCTGGTCCCTTGAAAAGCTACATACAGAATTCCAGTTTACCTTTAAATAGTCACATTATAGTCACATTATAACCATTGCAACTAGGGCTGGAAAGTTACTGAAGCCTACTGCCATCACAATCAGTTCCCTGTTTTCTTGGGATAATGTAATCTCACTAGAGAGAGATATGAGAAAGTAATTGGCCATCTCCTCACTCCATTGTTTTACAAGAATTTATGGGTGGGGTTGAATCTTTTTTCATAGGAGACATGATTTGGGGAAAAAAAACAACAAAACCACAAATCACCTCATATCAGTTGCTGAAAGCTTCCAGATTCTTTATGATCTCTGTACTTTCTAAATGGAGATAAATCTCAAGAGAACTGAAGGCCAAGAATAAGGCTTGTAATTTACCCAATTATCTTTTTGTTTGTCTGTGCATACAAACATAATTAAGGAGTGGACAAAAGCCCACACAGAATGGCCCTGATAATCTCTGCGTATTTTGTTTTTGTTGTATGGATCAGATGTTTGTTCACATCTTGTAAAATGTATCCAAGGTCTGACTTGGCACTTTTTCAATGCCTCTAGAAGGCTATAAAATTAGCTTTAAATTCCAGAACGTCAATATGTATTTTGATGGCATTAGGCTTTATATATTTGAAAAGATATTAAAAATACGCATCACCTGAGGTACTGAGATTTAAATGCCCATTGTAAAATGAATCTATGATGACTGGATTTTAATGTATTAATAATTATTACCCTACTAAAACACAGTATTATCAATTTTACAATATTAAATTATGGGATTATGCTACCCATAATTAAATGATAAGACTGTAACCTTTTTTAAAATCTTGACTGTGTCAGTTTTCTGCTACAGGCCTTTGTACAAGTGTACTACAGGCAAAAATGCTGTCAGTTTATTTCTGAGTTTTCATAATTAAAGCTACTATTTATGTATGCTGCCGGAAAAAAAATTAGCTGCAAAAGTGTATAGCTTGAGTGCTATGTCAGAAGAACATGGCAGGTGTTTGGAAACCAAACACAATTGGTTTCTTTCATCATTATGGAACTCACTTCTTTGTAATACAAAAGGAATACCAGACAAGAACTATTGTCACAGCATCTCAGAAAAATGTAACTCAATCATGAGTTAAATATATGTTCTTTTAGCTGTCAAGTTTTTATGCTTATAATCACATCTCCATAGGCAATTTGCACTTTTTCTAACACGTATATGGCCAGACAGTGCACTTAGTAAGAAGGTCCTGGGTACTGAAAATATACATGACTCATATACATGCAAGTAGACATTAATTATTAATTTGCAAAGATTATTTCAGCAATTTTTTTCCCCAAGAAAATTCAAATTTCAGCAATCAAAATATTCTGGTTCATGGCCAAAGATAATCTTCTATGCTTTACACAGCATACACATGTAATACACCTGGTTCTAAATAAGGTATACAGTCTCCTCCTTTCAGTAACTGTTAACATTTGTTAAAAACTAGGCTATTTTGGGAGAATCAGGACATAATTTAAAAATAGAATTTGTAGATAAAACTGTTTTAATTTCTAGAAGTCAAGTTCCTTTTTATTCTCACCCCAGGAGGAAGAATTGGTATTTCTAGGCAGGAAGATAAAAGAAATACATGAGAAACTAAACACTTTACAATTTATGTGATTTTCTCCATGATGTTGCATTCATATACGTGCCTTCTGATGGACAGAAACACAGTGTATTTACTGTTTAGGTTAAGCACGGGAAGGGATCTTACATGATACTCCTTCTGAAGGCAACCCTCTAAGTTACTTCTTGGCAAATTCTGGTGTACTGTCCTTACATCAGTTCCTAGTTGTTTCCAGACAAGTAGTACATCGATCTTCTCTCTCTGCTGAACACTAGTGGCTTCCACTAAATGAATTCACATTTTGAACACATTTCTCTGGCATGTTTCCAGGAATATTGAGAGCCTAATGACCAACCTAACATCAATAAAACTTAAATTTCTCTCTTAAAAATCATAAGTAATGCTGAAATTGTATGTCATGTTGGAATGCTTTTGTTGCTGGCAGAATTTAGAATCTAAAACATGACAAAGCAAAAAAAAAAAAAAGACAAGAGAAATTTGGAGTGCAAATATTCTTTGGTTTACTCATTAAAACAAAAGGACACAGCAAACAGCAAAAACACTGGCAATTAAATAAACAGCAAATTCTTTATATGCTTCCTAACAAGAAGTCTTTGGCTGTTTGAAATGTATTAACTTCATGCTTTTAAGTACATTACAGTGTCTAGAAAGTCACATTTCTTATCCCCAATGTCAAGGCAGAGAGAAGATGAGGAAGAAAAATAAGAATAAAAGGTAGGAAAGTAAGAAAAGAAAAAAATGTTTAAAATTCCATTTTTCCATTAGTTAAATAGTATATAACACAAGGATAACATTAATTTCTGTTTCTACTTTCATTGTACACAAAGCAAATTAGCTTGCAATGGGAACTTTGTCAACTTTGGTGAATTCATATCATCATACACATTAGAGTAGTATATCAGATATACTGACTCACATATTTTTGGAAAGAACTGTGTCCCTTCCAACCCAAATTATTGATTTTATGATTCTACTAGCAGAATTCCAAAACTCTTAAGGAATTGCACAGAGAAGTCACTGTGTTTTATCTTATCACAGGCAGAGTTAAAATTCTGTACCACAAGCAGTTTTTTAGGAGTGCTCTTCCCCAGTTCAGCTATTTTCCTTAGCTTATTCCTCAAATAATCCCCATGTAGTCAAAGGAAGCAAGCACCTGTGCAGGTCTATAAGGATCTCTATTTGGGAGATCCTCCCTTGCAGACAGGAAGTTTTCAGCTCTGAGCTGGAGATGCTCAAGCTTGCTGTTAAGACTCTATGTGACAGCATCAATGATTTTATTTAAAACTCAATGCTTCATAATGGCAACACTAGGAAGCTGTTATCTGTGCAGAGAGCATAAAAGACTATAACTGAATCAAATACATTTATTTTACAAGTAAATAAAAGAAATTACAGAGTGTACCATCACCATGATAGTCTATTACCAACATTACTGGGTTCTGATAGTTTAGAATTAATTCTGTAAATCTATGAAAGATGCAGGCTGTCTGACAGCATATTGTTTTGGTTTGTATATCTATCTTGCAACGCCCTTACTCTACTTGAACCATTCTGTTTGATTGTCTTCATCAAGCTGTTTCCATAGGCAAAGCACAATAAAAAAAGTAATGTGCAATTTTTCTTCCAGATGGACTCTGAATAGCAAAAGATAGCGCATAGTAAGAAATCAATTAATAAAGATATTTAGGAAAGATTTGTCATAATGTTAAAAAAAACCTCTTTGCATGCTCCCTTATTCCTTCATAAATCAACAGTGTTCCATCTACAAATAACTCATAGGCAGTCACCTCTAATACAAGTACTTATATGTTTCCCTCATCTAGCATTTTGTTGACCCCATCACAAAGTTTCTGCAAATGGATTTTATAAGGTCCAAAGGGATTGTACAAGGCAGCCAAAAATTCACAATCAGAGAAGTGATCAAACACATTATTGACACGTCCGTGTGACTTTGCAGTTAGGTGACGCTGAATGATTTCATGGAGCAGCTCTCTGCATTCATTCAACAGTTTGGACAAAAAGTTCCTGTCAAACGTATAATCCACCTGATGGAAACTGACCACTGTCTTAGCCAGCTGATGAACCTTCTTCTTGAATTTCTCCATCAGTGCTATTTCATCCTGATTAAATTGGTTGTTCCTGTAGAGAATTGCCAATTTGAGGACTATTTTAATGAGGTTTTTGATTATCTTCTCTGCTTCTTTTTTATTTTGTGTATATTCCTTTGTTACTCTGTAAAGCTCATCTAAAACATCACTGCTTGTATCATCGATCAAAGTAGTTGCTATTGATTTGGACACCATTTTCCCCAGGATCTTCTTCTGGGCCTGAATGGCCAGACTTTTGGAGTTGAAGACATCTGTGGCCACTAGGAAAAGAAAAAAGTGTGCAGTCAGTACTTCCAAACAGACAGTCTCTGGACAACAAGTTCAGGAATATTTCTATACTTATACATTCACAATAATCTTACTAAGCACCACAAAATAATGCAATGCTGTTGCAGGAAAAAGCCTCATATTTAAATCCCTAAAACTCTCTTCTCTTTCTTTTGGTTTATATTCTTTCAAACAGTTTTACTTTTGAGAAAATACCAACTGAACTTGCTCAGAAATGGTTTAGAAGCTTTCTCTGTATATGGACTGATGGAATTTCAAACTGAGGTAATAAAACTGCCCTATTTGATCAGAGGAGTCACAAATCTAATCTGATTATCACATAATGAAATCTAAAACCAGGATTATTTCAATGTCATGACAAATAACCACTGCAACTGAAAGATAATAATTCAGTGAAGCGACCATTATAGCCTTTTCCTGCTTAGCATTTTACACCATCAGTGAATGCAGACACCACACATTAATTTTAAGATATCTATTTTAAACATATCTGTAGATATCCATGCAGAAATACAAAAGAAAGACAAAAAAAATTTGTCAGCAAACAATAGTGAGATTCTCTGGATGGATCTGAAGACACTGGTTTTCAGAAGAAAAGCAAGTACAGATTAACATTTCTATGTCCTATACTTTATGCACTAAAAGCAAGACAGTTACTTTCTAGGGATTGTCATAAGAACGGTGAACATTAAGTTTTAAAAGTATCTTTTTGTGACCAATGAAGTAGATCCTACACCACATTTTCACTTCTAAAACTATGTTTGATTGCACAATACACCCAATGACTTGTTCGTACTTTTGTTCAAAACAACAAAAAGTTGTTGTTAAAAGACCCCAAACAAACCTTCAGAAACTTGACTTGTGAAGTGTTATCACTTGTTCTTTTCAATTCAGAAAATTGTCAGCAACAATTTTCTGACACTCCCTTGACAGCACTCTCTCCATTAAGACACCTGTGAATTGGTATTTTCAGGTACAATTGTCTGGGAAATGGCTGCCTTTGTGCTGCAGCTCAGACAGGGAGAAGGAAGACTACATCCGATTACATTTACTGTGCATATGCAAGGTTTGCTTAGCAAACACAGGGACTGAAAATATTTTTTTTTTCTTTTAATGAAAACATCAACTCTGCAGATGTCAGGCAGTAAGTCCCTGAATTTGGAAAAGGTTTCCTCTTAACTGCTGGCATGTGGGCAGCTGGGTGTGTTCAGATGCAGGGTGCCTCAGGGGTTCCAACAAATAAAAGAAACTTGTCCTTCAGGACATGAAACACAAATCTGTATTTTTAATTCAAGAGTGTCTTTGAGAAACTTAATAACAAGCTCTTTTTTTATAATCCCATAAACCTTACAGCAGATTTGTTTGTTACAAGTTTCAGTGCATATCAGTATTTTGTTTTGAAGCATGAGTGTCTGAACACATTTTTTAAAATGTTTACTACAAGAGGACGAAAACCAAGGAACGCCTTGTTAACTATCTTGGGCAAAGCCCTCAAGATCACAAGACAGACACACTTCTCAACCACAAAGATACAGGAAGACATTAAAGATGCTGAGCAGTCATTTTGAACTGAAAATATTTTATTTTCTTTCTGTGTTTTTAAAGCTAAATCTGCAACAGTTACTATTAAAGTAAAATTAATCCATGTTTTCCAAAGGGTAGTCAAATACTAGAACTCAACAGCCAATGCAAAGATCTATGGATGAATAATAACTTTCTTTCTCTTCCAAAACAGAAATATCAATTGTTTTTTCATAACTTTTATTAATTAAAGTCTTCTTATTAATGCTCATATCTGTGTGGAGTGTCTTCTTTCTGACACTCCACACAGATATGGATGTTCCTACTAACAACATTTACTGTTTGGCAGTATGCTAAATATTTTAAAGTTTTACAACAAAAACCCTCTTATATTACATAATTTTGCATTTTACAAAGTACAACTCAACACCTTTGCTAACCAAAACAGGAACTGCTCCATTTCAAAAGCTGCCAAACTCTTAAGGTATTTTTCTAATATCTGTCTAAGTTTTGGGGCTCTCCATCATGGCTTACTTTCTATCTACTTTGCTGTAAGTACACCAGAATTCAGTTTCATTTTCCCTGGGCTGTTAATGGGTTCGAATTTAATTGCTAAATATGTAAATTTCATACTTCAGTATTTCAGCCAATCCAAAAAAGCAACTTGCTAACTCTTTGTAGTTTATAATCAGAATTTTTTCTCCTTACCAATGACAGAAAGACTTAAAATTTATTTCACAGCTTAAATAAAACTCAGTTTAAGCAATAAGATTAAGAGCTTCTTCAGAATGAACATACGTATTTCCTTAAATAACAATAAAGCTATTACTTACTTGTTCATCTAATGTAATTGCAGTTTTTACTGCTGACAGCAGAAAGAGAACCAAAACACCCAAGGTGAAGACTGGCTGTGGCGTATTTATTCTGGTAAATGCAGCACACACTATATTGTGTGCTTTGAAACATTGTCAGAAGCTATCACAGTGAGAATATGGGATTTTCCTCCTCGCTGTAAGGGTAGGTCTTCTCAGCTATCTTTCTCTCCTGCCTGCAGTGCTTCATTTTGCTTTGGCACCTCAAAAGGCAAAAATACATCTCGGTGGTTTCACTTCCTCAAAGAGAGAGCTGAAAGGAAATTGCAGCGCTGAGCAAGCAGTGCAATACCGGGGCTGTTTCTGCCAACTGACAACTGGAACAATTCAGAGACTGGGAGGGAGAAGAAATGTCCTGTGATCGAGAGGACAGGTGACGTATCAAGAAAAGGTTTTAAAACATTAACCTGGAGATGCTCAAATCCTGCAAGTGGAGATACTCATCAGTGTATCAGAGGTGCCTGACTCACCGGTTGTGCTGGGGAGGGCAGCACTCCTAATCCAAGGACTGCCAGGCACCCCCTTTCAAACTTCTGACTGCAATTTCAGACATGAGCACCTGAAAATGCACCTTTATACAATTACTTAGGGATGACTGTATGTAGACACGTTTTGAAAGTGATTACAGTAGCTGGTCTGGATGTCTGACCACACCTCTTGTGTTGACAGGTAACATTCTTGCACTTTAAACTGAAATAGTGTCATTTCTCTGGTGACCTGTGGGTAATCCCACTAATTTTAAGCAACTCAGAGTTTGGTTTACCTTATGATTGCTCTTGATAGCTCCAATTTCTTTCCTCTGCAGTTTTATACTTTACTTTTTAAAAGGTTATCATCAAAAAATACCTCTTTGAATCAATGCAGTGTCATTTTCTGCACAAACTACTCAAATAAGCATGATTATGTGCAGTAAAGCCATGCCTCCAGAGAGGAAAATAGTCCAAGAGAAAAGGCTCTCAGTGGAAATCCTGCTTCCATTGCTTTGAAATGCACAGAATCAGTCTTGGGAATAATGCAGACATCTGCAGAATCTTCTAATTCATTATTTAAATGAGCAAACATGATGCTAGAGACAGCCTCCTGTGAAAGCTGTGAGCTTAGTGATTATGCAACTTTTTGATTTTCATAGCAAGCACATAGCATATGTGTTTAACATGGTATTTTGTGTATTAAAATGAATAAATACTGGACATGCAGAATGTCCAGCATTTATTCTGGATTTGCTTCTCCCAAAATATTTTACCATACAGAGGTTTTCTTGAAACTGTGGTGGAAGTGTAAACTCTCAGTGAAAATTTAATATTGTGGTTAATAGACTCTCAGGAGACTGCTATAAAAGTACAAGGAGGCTCATACTTATGGCTGCAATGCTGACTTTTCCCCCACATGGAAGCTAGCACACCTCCCTGTGTACTGTGGCAAATGACTATTATACTATTACCACATACCCTGTGTCTCAACTTTATTTAAATTTAAAAAAAAAAAAGGTAGTCTTTGGAAAAAAAACTTTTCTTCCACAAGACAACAGTTTATGGTAGATTCAACATCACTCACAGCTGAGTGTATGCAATTTCATGTACATTGACAATGAATACTTTAGTCACAGAGTATTTTTAAACTTCTCATTATGAAGGAGCAGGAAAAAAAAAAAAAACATCCAGCAAAAAATTACAGTCAACCATCATGAATTCCATGGTCAAGTCCAGAGCTGAGCTTTCTGACACTTGCTTTGTTGACAGAACAGTCCCAAAAGAAGAGAAAATATGACTGTGAAACAGTGCTCCCTGAGTCCTAGTTCTCATTTTAGTGACTGGAACATCACGTGCTGTACGAGTAAGGCCCAAAAATGATGAGGGTTTTTGGGAACAAAACACCAACATGGGCTTGAGAGGAAAGAGACAGCACTGACTGAGGGCTTCAGGCAGCATTTAAAAGACAATCACATAGCATTGAGAAATATGGAAATGGACTTCCTGCCGGGAATCCTGTATGGATGTGTGTGTTTGCCTCTCTACAGACTGTGTGCTAGAACTACACCTTAAAGCCTGCACATGCCATACAAATTGCATGTTCAGACTCCCATGGTGAAAGAGAATTATTTCCCTGGAGGGAGGCAACTTGAAATCAAGTGGAATTAGCGTTATGCTCTCTTAGTGTATGTGACCATAAGTCATGCACCTCCAAAATCATGAGACTGCCTAGATATTAAGGGATAAAAGAATTACTGAATTTTTAATCTTTTTTTTTTTTTTTTTGCCTTCTGCTTTCTGGGTTTTCACAGGTCGAATCTTGTTTTCAGGAATGACACAGGCCAGAAACATATAAATGCAGAAGCATATAAATATATGAATTCACATATAAATACTTTACTTCAGTAAGGTAAAGCTCCCAGAGTGATAAACTACAAGAGTTAGTATCAGTGAACAAATAAGTCCTGAGGTACAAAATAGGCATAAATAGTTATAAACCTGTTACCATGGCTGTAACAATTTTTAAAATGTACTTTTCAATCATGACAACATGACTGAAAAACTTGAGTGGCAGGTACAGACTATGAAGTTTTCAGATATGAACAAGATAAGCTGATTTTTCTAGATGCCGAATTATATATATAGCTTTTTCTTAATAACCACTTGAGTGAGTCACAGTTTCAAAAAGGTTTTTTAATGCTATTTTCTTTTTTCTATTTTAGGAGGAGAGTCAGTGTTTTGATTCTTATCTCAGTGCTTCAAAGTTTCCTGGATGAAAGATATGTTAAAATCCTTACAATCCTTCCCAAAAGTCTTCTATAATTCCTTCCAAAAATACAGCTCTTCCCAAATGGCCACTTCAGCATAATTGGCCAGTGTCATTCACATTCACAAGCATTTGTTCACTTACTGACTTTTCAAAAGCTGATGAAAACTGAAGCTTCTACCAGCCATGCAAGACTAGAAACAGTCTGAGAGCTTTCACTCTTCAACCTCAGACACTGGGACTGCAACTTCACAGCTGGCTGAGGGCAGGAGTGGGAAGATACCAGGACAGCCACAGAGTTTATTGATAGGACGTCAGCAGGGCACATGGTTTGGGCAAGCACCATCAGGCAGTGGAAAATCCAGACAGCAAATGGCTAAGTGCAGAAGGGGGAATGAAAAAAAAACCCTCAAACAAGGGCCCTGTACTATATTTGCTTCTTTCACCTCTACTTATTTAATTCATGTACATGAGGTCCTTATTGGAAGATCAAATATTTTACTTGGCAACTTGTGTTTAAAAAGAAGGGTTTATATATGAATACAGATTTTAAATAGAAAACAGTTTAACTAAAATTTTCAATGCATACAAAGCATTCTTTCATGAGTAACATTTGCCTACTGTTCTCCTAACAGGTAAAGTAAATTGTACTGAATTCTGTCTTGCCATAATTGTTACCAACTGAGCATAGGATGAGAATGTTAACTATTCAAGCAATGTGCACTAGTTCTAGCATTCACACTGGAAGACCTTCAAAAGGAAAAACACCCCATCTGAAGCTTTATGCATGGCAAATATTGCATGAGCAGTCTTACTGGATTTGGAAGTTAGCTATGAGGCTGCAAGTCCCTCTGGAGAAACACTTAATCAAGCAATTGCAGAAAAAAAGATGGGTAATGAAGCATATTTTTGAAAATACAGAATATGTCTGATTTGCATATTCCTACTGAAAGTGAGCACATATTCATCTGCAGAAACATGGGAAAAATAAAAGTCAGCAAACACCATTTAAAACAGCTTCTTCTCACCCAATAAAATGCTCAGTAAGTCATTGCTAATATGTTTGCAAAACATACGTGATACTGTTATATGCTTCTGAATTTTGCTATTTAATTCTAATATTAATGTATTAAAATGTCCAAAATTTTATGTACCACAAAATATGATCCACATTCTAGCTGCAAAAACAAAACCCAACGATTAAAAAAAAAAACCCCAGAAAATAAAATACATTTTTGGTCAAGAGGTGAGAAGAATTGCCAAAAAATGTACCTGAAGGTTAAGGCTGGGTAGAGTAGCAAGGAATTATGCTATTTCCAATAAGAATGTTGCAGAGTTTTGCAGTCCCATGGGAGCAGTTAGTGCCAACAAGTTATTCTGGTTTTACATGCTTGTGCTTCCCACAGCCAGCCTATGCATCACATGATACATATACTGTGGCTGATTTAGAAATTTTAAAAAGCCTCCTAAAAGCCATTTCCCCCAAAACCTCTACATGTATTTTAATTAGCAGTGTAGCTTTAAAAAGAAGGATAAAAAATTAGATTAACTTCAGATGACTGCTCTCAAAATATTTCAGATTACACTGGATATTAAACCAAGAAAACAGTCACTCAAAGCAATGTCATGAACTTAATTTGGTATTTTCAGTCCTCAGCCACCATTTGTTATCCTTGTTGGAATGTAGCAACTGGTGCAGTGCTTTAAAATACGCTGCTGTTAAATATGCAGACTGTATATTTCAGCTGTTGGTCTTTTCAGGGCTGTATCATGTTCCTCTGTATCTACCAGGTGTCCACAGTAAATAGTAAAACTGACAAATCTTTTCACAGGAAATAAAGTGTATCTTGTATCATTCCTTCCGATCAATCAAATGCAATGCAGGTACTCTATATTTTCTCCAGCCTTAGAAATACATACCAAACTGCAGCAAGACAACAGTACCAAGCTCCCTTAGCCAAGTGGCACCCTGAATTTGAAATTTAAAAATGTGGTATCTAATTGCTTTACAACCATCCTGGCAAAAAGAATGTTTTCTCACAAAAAATGAGCCCCAAAACACTTAGCTGTAAGCGCAGGAACTACATACATATAAAAAAAAAGAGTTCCTGTCTTAAATGTAGAATGAAAACCTCAGAGGTCAGCAGCCCAGGAGAGCTTGGAATCCACTGGAGAAAATTAAAGCTGATATGTTGCAAAATTACAATGAACTGGAAGGTCCAAACAAGACAACAATCTGGCATGAAATGGACAGGGAACTCAATCACAAAGCAAGTGTCACAACCTGGCCAAAATGCAAAGGCCATGTATTTGAATCACATGTAAAGAAAGTCAAAGCAGAGGCTTCAGAGAGTTCAAATGACACAGAAATTTGTGAGGGATCTTACAATGTCTTTGAAACTAGTTAATAATGTCTTTCCTGTATTTCAAGTTCTGGCTCTCTGTTCTCCTTGTCCATCTGTAGCTACACTGTCTGTTTCTTACAGAGAGGATGGGAGAGCCTCGGTCTTTCATTTTAATGTCTAAAGTAGGCTGGATTGCTACCATTAACTTTTTTTTTGTGCGTGTGTGTGTATACATATATATATAACTAACTTACTAACTTCTGAGGCACTGAAGACTACCACAGCTACAGGCCAGCTGCATAAAATCTAGTGGTGATACTCGGGACTTTCAGTTCTCAGATGTCTGGTCTGTATATTGATTTGCAATATCAACATTGAAATGTAGATTATAAAGAATACACAAAATTATCCATCTAAGAATTTTACTTATCAGATATTGGCTGTTATGTAGGCCTAATACACTAGTGGGACTCTTCATCTCTTTTTAAACTTTTAATTTTTACTATCCCTTTTTTTTACTACAAAAAGGATAAAATTTATGGCATTCAATGCATGGCTGTACAGAGAATATGTGCTTTGTCTGCCTTCCACATCAATCACTTATGGCTGCTTCCATGATTATGGAAGACTACAACTGGTGGCTGAAATGGTCATTTTCTCTCCACACCTAACACATTTACTTTCCTATTCCACAAGAAGCAAAATAGACCAACCCTTGAGTTTTTAGTTCTTTTCCATTATTTAGCATGCTGTTTCCTCTGTATCCATACTAGCACAACCTTTATCCAAACATCCAGTCGTGAAACAAGAGATTGACTCTTTTCTTCACTTCTCTTTTCCCTTGCTGTCAGCTCAGAACAGGCTCTCCAAGACACAGTTTATCTTTCATAGGCTTTGCTTTGACTCTTCTTTGTTTCCACTAGTGCCACCCAAACCCACCTTTAAAATATTTGACTTAACACCAAAACTCTCAAACATAACTCAAGACTGTCAAAACACCAATCCACCTCCCCCCATATCTTAAGAGTTTGGTTTTGCTTTCACTAATGTCCTGAAGTTCTAGCGGAATACAAAAGGTAAGAGAAAAAATTAGGTCTTCAATATAGTTAGCAACTTAATCTGGAAAATTGAATCTTAGGTTAAACATTATGTCTGACCCTGTCATTCTCTTTTACATCAGAAGGCAATACTATTTGGATACAGAACTCTGTCATCTAGCAAAGCAGTAGTAATCCTATTTATTTTTAAAGATCACAAGTATATTTACTGACTAAAAACTGGACAGCCTCCAGAGATCCCTTTTCAGCCTCATTTTTTTGTGTGATTTGTTAAACCTACACCTTCTTTGTCATTCTCTTCCTGGGGCAAAGCACATGAGACTTGACTCCATTGTGTTTTACAGCTGTTGACTGCTGCAGAATTTGAAAATTTAGATTCTTTACTTTGCAGTGGCATCAAATGACATTTTAAGCTAAGCAATGGACAGCACTGATCAGCTATGAAAGGGCATACAATGGCAAGAAAGGTGATTGCACCTTGAGATTTCCAAGATTATTACCCATAGTAAGAAGGAAAGAACACAAATTTGAACCAGGAGAATGAAAGCTTTCAAGTGGTGAACAGAAACACCATCAATCTAAATTTCAAATGTTTGCACTGAAATAAAAATGTCAGTACTTTCTCTTTTCCTCACCATAATGTTGTCCTCTCCTCCCCAACTTCATGACATAAGTCACAACAAAGGGATCAACATTTAACTGCAAATTACTGATTTTGATACCAACTGTTTGTTGCAAAGAAATGTGAGTTTAAACATACATCCAGGATGCAATTTCTTGCATCACAGAATTTAAATCTCTAATTTCAGGCATTGAGGACAAGGCTGTGATCTTGAAGAAGACATCTTACCACAAAACACCAGAGTCAAACTTCATTCTTACCCCTTCCTGGAGTATTCACCATTTCTGTTTGCAAATGCTCAAATTTATGATTCATTGTTTCAAGTTTCTAAAGAAGTCTACATCACTATTTCTCAGTGAATACTTATAAGTGAACAGAAACTCCATTCATTTTGTTATTTGCAAGTAGTAAAAACTGCCCTTGGAATCAGTAGCTGAAATATTTGCCGGAATCATCTTCTCACTTCTGTTAATATTAAACCAAAATTTTATTCTTTCCAGAAATAAAATTGTCTTTGTAGAATAGTTTTGCAAAGTGGACATAGCAAAACCAAAACTATTCCTCACTAAAGCCTCATGTTTTAAAGCAATGTAGTTTCTGCATTTTTCAAACGTTTCTCCACACCTCTTCGAAGTTAATTAAATGGATGCTTGTCTGTGCATGCACTCAGTCAGTTCTTTATTAATTGCTGTATGAATGTAAATATTTTGGAATAGGGACTTGCGGGTATCACACTCTTAGAGATCCACTGAAATCACAGGGCAGCTAGCAATGCCTTAGAGAAACTTACAATTACTGGCCTTTATAGATAGATAAACTAATCTCAGAATATGTCCCTGGATTTTCAGGTTTCAAACCTTTCAAAGATAAATGCTCTCAAATAAATGAGGTGCTTATTCCACTTTACTGCAATTTATTCTCATTACTGCAAACTGCAAGCAGGAAGAGGATTCTGCAGACACTCTGACATTTGTACTTATCTGTAAAAGTGAAATGTAGGTTTTCTCTATTGCTTTGCAAAACAGTCTATCTCATCTTTCACTACTAATCTGCATAGTTACAAAAGCCAACACTAAATTCTGCAAAAAGTAAGTTAAATTAAATTAGTTGATACACTATGTATCCTCTATATTGCTTCTGCTGAAACAGTTCTGTGGGGAAGATTTTGAATGCCAAATTCCCCAGACTAAATCCAACATGCCTACCAGAGATGTGAGCTCTCTACTTCTCACTGCCTGCCAGCCAAGCACTAGAAATGAACCACACACCAGAACTGGGACAGGGAATTAACTGATGAAACTGAGTCAAATCACCACTCAACTCAGGCAGGGAGTCCTAGGGATGAGAACAAAATTTGTGAGAAAACATCCCATAGTTATAAATGCAGAATGAGTATCTCAAAGAACAGGCTTCTCAGTTTCTCTCCTCCTCCCTCAAAGACTCTCTCCAAGTGACAATGGGTTTAACTCTTGTGCTTTTGCTGACATGATGGTTAAAACAACCAAGATTTTGGCAGTTGCATTTTATTGCTAATCCCATTGTGGATCCTGTTCTGTAGTAATGACAGAGATACATCCATAAAACAGGAAGTGTACACCTACCATTAAAAAACACAAGCAACTCATCAAATATAATTATGCAAACCAAGAAAACATGAACATCTGCAACTTTCAGATCTCCCACCATAAAAAAACCTTAGTGTCAATATGTATAAGGCTATTGTTCAGATTACTTATACTCATTAATGCAGAACAGCCAGTATAAGCACTCAAATTTCTTACAAACTCATAAACAGCAACTGCTACTAATAACAGTACTACTGCTGGATACTACTGGATCTATAAAGTATCCAAACAATATGCAAACACGAAAAAAATAATTTTAAATATGAAAAAAGTTAATTTTTGCATTGAAGCCATTATGAAATAGATTAAAGTATTTTAGCCTACTACTTCTATTGAGTATGGAAAAATGAAAACCAGAAATTGTTTCATGAAAATAGCATAAAAACTTTTCTCTTAATGAAACTCTCTCCTCTTACCACATTTTGTAGTCTAACTGTAGAAAAAAATCATTCCAGAATTTTGAAATTAACACCTGAAATACAGTTTTCATTTGCTTTACTTATTATTAGAGGGACACTAAATGACTGAGTGGAGAAGGGATGCATTTTGCATCTCAAAAAGCAGTATTTAAGAACCCTTCTGAAACAGTAATATTTAATGGAAAATTTGACCAAATAATAAATTGACCCTGATAAAAGAAATGTTGTGTATTTTTGAATAAAAACTGCAAATTACAATTATGTTTCAGCCTTACACTTTCCTTAAGCTACTCCTGGCTAATGTATAACAAAACACTCATTATTCTCAGAAGCAATTAATTTGGCCTGTTAACACACTTGGAAGTAGTACTGGTAAAGACTAGAGCATTAACAAATATTACGTGCAAGGTCCTTCCCTTACCCAGATATTTCTTTTGATTCTGCAGAGATTCACTGACTTTTACTCCTGGTCTCTAACCTCTGTCTCCCCTGTGGCAGTCCACTGTTTGCAAAGTCCCCGAGGAAAAGAACACAAAGGTGTAAGCACCAAATTTGCTGTATCTGCTGTATTACGGTGCTTACACCTTTGTGTTCTTTTCCTCGGGGACTTTGCAAACAGTGGACTGCCACAGGGGAGACAGAGGTTAGAGACCAGGAGTAATTTGCTGTATTACAGTAATCACAGATAATTGAAAGGAAGACTGGGAAACTAAGTCTCCAGTACAACAAACAATTTCAGAAGATGAAAAGGTTCTTCTCGCAGAACT